CAGGCAGACAGACAGACAGACAGACAAACAGACAGACAGACAGACAGACAGACAAACAGACTGACAGACATACAGACTGACTGACAGACAGACATGGAGGTCCTCAGAAAGACAACTTTACTCATCTGCTTTAGTGGTCAGTGGGAAAAAGAGAAGGCATTTTTGTATCATGTTTGAACTTCAAATGAATATAAAATAAACTCAGTTTATTATGTTACATATAGAAATAACACTAAATCTAATAATGTCTGAGGTAAGAGCAGAACCCTAAAGTTTTATGACTTCATGTTTTCCATGCCATGTTGTAAACTGAAGACGATTTGTCAAAATGCCATGTTGTCTTAATAACAACAAGGTGTCAGCCATTCATATTGTTGTGAAAAAAAAGAGAAAAAACCCTACTTGTTTTATTTGTACAGAGACGAGCCCCTTCAACTTGACAAAACCACGGCCTCGGAGCATCCCCATACCTGAGAAGGTACACTCTAGCAAATGAGTCCACCTTTCTCTTTTGGTTTCCCAGCTGTTTTACTTGTAGCATTAATTATTTGTTTACTTGCTAATTTTCCTCTCTTTTTCTGTTTGTTTGCCCACCACTTTCCTGTGTGAGGCCAAACCATGAATTGAGACAGTTTTCTTGCATATTCTCTTATTTCAATTTTACTTTTTATATATGTTGGAATACCAGCTTCTCATTTCATTTTTTCTCCATTGATGAAAAGTGTTGGTGACTGGGCTCTGTCTCACATGTTTTTTGTGCTACTTTAAAATATTATGTCTTCATCAAATTTTTCACTTTTTAATGCCATACACTCTGACTTGTTTATGTGTCGTGTTTGTCGATCTAATACCAAAAGTTTGTTCATTTATAGTGTCTTCTTAAATTGTTTAGAGACTTTCCTTCACATGGAATACTTTCCAGAGGTGTTTTGTCAGAAAACTCGTGTGAAGCATTTGATTTGGAGGGCTTTAGGAACTATAAAATGTGAATACTACAAGCACAAACTTTGTTGTTTTCTGATAATGTTATTGTTTTGGGGCTTTAGCAGCAAACTTTTTACTCAAATGTGATTACTTTAAGGACTGGATTTTATTTTTTTTTGAAAAGGGGTTACTGAATGTGTTTCAATGGACTGATGCAAATTTATGTCGACGTTTTTTCCCTTCTCTAAGCACAGTTTGGTACTGCGACTGTTCTGTATTTCTTTTCTTTGGTTTTCCTTTTCTTTGGTTTTCCTTTCATAAAAGTAAAAATACTTTCCTCAAATTATCATATTATGAATTTGGGCAATATGTTCATGCTATGAATATTATTAGGAGATAGGAGAATTCCTGTCTGAAGCAAAAGTGTTTGTGTGTCAGGTCCCAAAGCTGAAGAAATCCAAACCCCCACCAGATTCCTTGTACCGAGCTCCTACAGAGCAGGATGAGCTGAGTCGGCATAAGGAGGAGAACCGAAGGAGAGCTGAGGTGAGAGTGAGAGTAGATTATGTGGCTGTAAATAATGTCATGTTTGAGGTCACAAATGATTATAGTGGACTATAATTGCTGCCTTTTATGTCTTCCAAAGTAGTGTCTGTACCGTGGGACTTAACAGCTGACTTTTAAAAAAATCTTTTCCACCCGCTTTATTGAATGGGAAAGCTTAGCAATTTCCTTATATGCACTTTTGTCTTGAACAGGTTTTGAGTGTTGGGTTCAGATACTGTAAGAAACCTAAACTGCTGTTAAATGAGGGGTCCACTCATTGAGTAAAGTCAAGGGAAACTATTCATTTAGCACTGTTTTGTGCAGATCATAGTGGCAGTTGCTGCTCTTCTTTGCACTCTGTGGAAAGGGGTCAGGAGGTTTTTAATTTTCTTACCTTATTTGATATTGATATTCGTTTTCCCCTGGAGTCGAGTTAGGAAACCTTTGCATGGCACCATTGTTAAGTATCTTGCAAACTAAAATGTAGTCACAAATCAGCTTTCAGTTTGATTATTTGGGTTTTTTTCTTTTTTTTTTTGTCACTCTAAAGGAACGATTGATGGAAGCGTCTAGGATCCAGTTTTCCTGTGCCAATCCAGAAAAGTCTGACAAAACCAAACAGATTCTACAGATTATCCAAATGGAGGAAAATGATAAAATTGATGGAAACAGGATCAAAGCTCGGCCGGCCCCTGACTTTGTACGTCTATATGTTTGTCATCATCTTCATCATTATCAACATGATTATTATTATCATCATCATCATCATCATCATCATCATCATCATCATCATCATCATCATCACCATCATCATCATCATCATCATCGTCATCATCATCATCAGCATCATCATAATCAGCTTTTCTCTCTTGTGATTGGTTTTCTGAAAATCTAGTATCTCCTGTTCATACATCTTCATTGTCATCCTCAGAGTTTAGCCTATTGAGTTTACTTCCTCTGCACTTTTTCAATTTGGTATACCTTTTAGACTTTTCCTTATTCCTAATTCTGCTTTTTTCTGAGCAGCTTGTATTATCTTAATTAGTTTGTCTCTTCCTGACAGAATTTTCTCAGTTTCAAGTTGTTTTTTTAAAGTTCTATGTATAGTTCTGGCTCTCTGACCCACTTTAATATTGTCTGGGCTGTGCAATTTTGTTTCCTCCTTTTAAGCTGATATTAGCTGATAATTTGCTGCTGTTTCTCCCATATTTATGTCTTTTACCCAACCTTAGTGTAGAGTGCTTTTTGGTACTCAACCTAATGGTATTATATTTTTGTTTGTTTTAGGAAATACTTTATTCATAGAGTTATTCGCATTTTTCTATTTCTCCCATTTTAAATATTTGTGTTCGAATATCTGCTCTGTGTTATTGATAAGCAAGTTGTGTAATTTTATAAGATATATTCTTTTTAATACTAATAATTCTCTTAATGTAAAATTACTGTTAGTGTGCATAACTTGAATTTACTGTTGTCCTCCGTGACATCACCACTGTCATTTTCAGAAAAAGGATCCGCTTCCAGTGAAGATGACAGCTGCTGCAATCCTTCGGGAAGGAAATCTGTATCAAAAGAAGGAAGAGGAGGTTGTTAAAAAGTAAGTAGACATCTATGATCTCTTACAAAAAAATGCAATAGTGCCAATTCCAGAAAGTATGTCCTTACAGTAACATCGATCATGTATGGTTTATCCATCTCTACACTTTATGTTAGAATAGCTTCTGTAACATTTAACAGTTTCAGATCTAGAGGTACGCTTTTTCACCAAATTTATCAGCAAAAAACTATTGTTTACCTTTTGAATTCGGGCCACTGTACTGACAGGCCCTGTGTATCTCAACACCTATAGTGACAGCTGCTGGATTTACATCATCTCAGACTGTGTTTGGTGTGTAGCATGGTAAAAATGTCACACGCGGCGGCATGGTTACTGGCTTAACATTCTCATTAGAAAAAGGTCTGCATTATCATACTTGGATACGGGTAATATTTTCTGCTCATCAAGGCTATTCATGTGGGTGAGGCAAGTAATGACTAAACTATTTTGTTTCCTGCCCCTAGACTGAGACAGCTGGAGGCTGGAGCATATGACGCCAGTGATTTCCTCAAGTGGCAGTCAGAAATGAGACAGATGGACCTTGAGGCTGAACTATCTGCTGTGGAGGAACGGAGGTTGAAGGGTAAACTTAGCCATGAAGAAGCCATCTTGGCGCGAGCTAATCTGATGGCTGACAACCAAACCAAAGTGCAAGACATCAAGAACCAGGTACGGTAGATTAATGCACTTTTACCTTCCTTCGCCACTCAACCTTGTCTGATAAATATTAATGGATTCTCTTTTTGAAAAGGGATGTTGCATCATTTTATGGACATTTCAATGAACATACACATGTCATAACCTACAAATTTGCTTTTGACCTGAGACATGCTTCCAGCATTATTTTTTTTCTGTAAATTTTGGTTAAGTGTTTTGTATTTTTTTAAAATCCTAAGTAATATATCTATATGGATAAATGCTTCAAGATACCCTATTTGTGGTAACAATAAAGAGAATAGCATAACATTTGAAGCCTTCATTCTTGTTTTATCCGGAGGTTTTGGTAGTATCTTTATTAAACCCTACACATTTTATTAAATCCCAGTACATCTGATGAAATGCATATCCTCTGACTCAGACTGATCTTTGGATTTTCAGACAGCAGCCATGATGAGGGAACATCTTGAGCAGAAGTTCCAGGAAGAGAAAGAAATGAAGTTAGCAGAATTTTTTATTTGTGGAACTTTTTCAAAAGTGTCTTTAGTTTTGAAAAATCATTTAACGTTTTCATGGAAAGAAAAGTTAAACTTATCTCTAGCATCTTTTCTTAGTCGCTGTATTATAATGACAAGAGACCAATTACAACTTCATCTAATAATTCACTGATATAATTTCTTGTTCATGAGGAATGTTATGAAAAGGTGGTTTCTTCATACACTTTCTGTGTGATTACCTTAATTAAACTTTAACTGCTTTTATATGTTCCTTTTCCATAAAACACTTTTAAAAAACATTTTTGTTAGCCTTAGCTAAATAAAACTGATCAGGATATATTTGTGAAACTTTTTATTCGTCTGCTTTCTGTATGAGGGTAATACAGACAGATTTGTTAAAATAGGGTTCTGAATGTTGAATGCTCTTCACTTTGTGATTTCAGAATGCTTGTTGAGAATACAATGGCTGGCCATCGCAATGCAAAAGAATCTAAAAAGAGACTTCAAGAGTATAAGCAGAAACTAGGTAATGCTGCAAATTAGATTTGTACATATGGATAAAGACAAGTTATATTTTTAGACCCTTTCAATCTTGTTCAGTGTGTGCATTTAGAGCCTAATCTGTTAAAGTGTTCTGTTCTGATGAAGTAAAATGGGAGACTCAAAAAATGGAAAATGAAATCGATTTTGAAAGGAAATTACATGTATTTTGTTGTTGTAAAATCTTATAAAAGCAATATAAATTGTGACAAGTTTGTGTTGTGAATTGTTGTGAATTCTTGTGAATTCTTGTTTTTGATTATCCTTGGAACTCAACTTGAAATTTCTAAAACTTACAGTGCAGGAAGTCACAGAGGAGAGCCGGGAACTGATGAAACAAGCCCTGGAAGAAGTGAGTTCACTTTGTTATATTTAGTTAACGGTACCCCTTGCATATATATGCTTTTTACCTTTCTCGCTTTTTCTTACTTGTGAATTTTTGATAGTATATTGTTGCTGACTTTTACCCTGCTAGTTACTCTGAAAAAGTTATGTTTGTTTATTTTTCAACATTTCCTGGAGGCTACATAAAAAAAAAGTTACATTTAGCCCGGAACAAAGTCCGCTCATTATATTGAAAACTGAATGAACTACTGAGAACTCAGAACATAACAGGACCATTGGCTGAATCTGAAGTAAAATATAGTCAATTTTTTGTTCCTCTAAAATTGCGTTGTTTTTTTTATGTCATCTGTTCCAAGAAGCTGACATTACATTTTCTGCAGTTTATCCAATTTTGAGCTTTTTTAATATTTTGTAAGAGTTTGCAAGCAGAGAATTCTTTCACATTGTCAGGCTGTTTGTGTATTTTTGTGAAAGGTGCTTTAAAAAAGAACTGTCGTGGAAACAGTGAGTGAATTACAACATCACTTTTTTTCCCTCTAGGCTGAGGCAGACATGCGGTGTAAAATGGAGCTGATCCAGCAGATCCGAGCTATGGAAGCCACACCAGTCAGTCGTTTCAAACAGGTGGACCTGGCCTCAACTGCAGGCGCTGGACTCCTGGGAGAGATGAGTATCCTGGAGGTGAGTGGAAGCTGGTTTTGTCCCAAGTTTTGTACTTTTGTCAGCTTCTGCCACACTTCCGTCTCTATATATTGTTGGATTTCAATTTCTCCCTGATTTTTAAATATCATCCCAAAATAGTATCCTTCAATATTAATTGATTGTATGAAGAAAGTGGTCGTGCTGCTTAGTATAAAGTAAGTAGTGAACAGATGATATGAATAGGATGTGATTTGTTTCTCATAATGCTTGGAATTGAAAGTTTAAAAGCTGATATTGCGAAGTAGTTAATGCTTGATAAAATAAAGTATCTGTGCAGGTTCAAATGGGTTCGAAAAGGAGTTTAATTGTTCCTGCACATTAGGCATATGTTTAGATGCATGCATAACACGCACCCCTAATATACACTTGTGCATGCGCACTCGCTTCTATAAATAATTTTTGGTGCTAAATTATTCACCATAAATATTGGATATTCAGGTTTTTTCATTTCATGTAAAACTTGAAAAACTGGAGAGTTTTTTTTTCTTTTTTGTGACCTACATAGCTAAGGGAGAGAGTGGCACTCCTGAAAGACAAACAGCGGGAGGAAGAGGAAATGAAAAGAGATAACATACTCAATGCCAAGCAGGTAAGTTCTTTGATGAGATATATTCCTTTGATTCATGTCCGATTTGCACATATTGAGGGTTGTTTACCACCTATTTCCTTTCTTATGTGATCTCTACAAAGTTTGATGTGATGACTCAGACCATTTCTTTGGGCTTTTCAATAGGCTAAATTAGTGTGAAACTAGAATGTGGTATGGGCAACAATGGTCCGAGCCCTTAATGGGGCAACATTGAGTTTTTGAGTAAGTTACATCGACATCCACTAAGTTTGGTTCTATTTGAAATGAATGTAAAATTGGAGGGTCTGTCCTCGTTTCATTGAAACAGGTATTGGAACAAATATTGCGGAGTACTATACCTTTACGGACATTCTTTTATTGATGCTACTGTTCATGGGGGCCAACTTGTTTTATGTATGACTACGAACTGACAATGGTCATATCATTGATCCCTCAGGCTAAAGCGGAACAGCTCTCAGAGACAATGGACATGGTCCTCAAACACCGTGCAGAGCAGACCAGGGCTGCAGCTCTCAAGTCAGTTCAGACGTGTTTTTTTAAACTCCTGTCTAGATAATATATGACTGTCAAAACAATTGCATTTTCAGTTGCTAAATGTTTTGTTAGGAGCTTAAGTACAGCTTCTCTGAAAATCCTAGGATTTTTTTACATTGTAGAATAAACGATCTGTTGTGAATGTAGGAAAAGATGAATTGCGAATATTTAAAAAAATCTCTGTTCAAACTATGTATGGAAAGATTGTAAGAAAGTGTTTTATAAATTAAAGCAGAATCTGTTATGAATTCATGCTTTCATTTACTCATTAATTTGATAATGAATTCTGTTTGGTATTTAATTTCTTATTGAAACATCATAGGTGTTATCAATGTTACAAAATTGTTGCTTTAGTGCTTTACTCAAGGCTAAATGTACAACATTGCGAAGCTGTTCTCACATCCAAGCTATTGCTTGCAGAGCAGAGAGGTTATCCTTTTGAAAGGGACCCTTGAGTTCAGCAACAGTCTTTAGTACAGTGCTGGGTAAAACAAAAAGGCATGTGGAATTCATAGTGGTTTTTGAAAGAAATGTGACCAAGCTGTGACAACTTTGAACAGCTGTGTAGCCCTGTGACTTATTTTTTATTAAAATGGGAAAACTTTTATTTTATATTAACAAAGCTTATAATGTGGACCCCTCAAAGAAGATGTGAGAGCTGTTAGGGTTATATTCAAATAGGCTGTTTTCAATTCTGTGAGGAAAAAGCTTTTGAACTAATGCATTGTCCTCCACCATCAGATTGGAAGATCGCAAGAAATCTTCCTCTGCCTCTGCCCCCTTCCGTAATGAGAAACTGATGGACCTGGAGCGTAAAGTACAGGAGAGGCGTGCCCAGCGACTGAGAGAGCAGCAGAGACAACAGTTGCAGCCCTCCATGATGTCTGCTCGCAGGACAACCACACTCATCACACAAAAGGTTTGGCCACAGCCCTGCAGGGCAAATTGGGTGCCAACACTGAAAGTAGATATGTGGAAGCAACGAATGGAGAACTGACCTTTAGTTTTTTACGCTTATGATGGATCAGATTTTTGCATTAATATAAAGCAATTTTTTTTATACCCGTGTGAAATGAATTTTAAAATAGAGCTGGGACCAAAAACACTGTTTTCACTTTGACATTTTTAGAAGTAATGAAATGAGTTTATCGAGCTGACTCTTCTGTCAAATCTCTTTGAGAACCCTTCTAAAAATTTAATTTACTTTTCCGATCCCATTTCTGTTAACTGAAATGTCTACTGTCTTCTTTTGCCACTTTCTGACTTGTTTATTCATTTAGTTACTTGAGTTTTCAGTGAATATCCTTTCTTCATTGGATCTTTTTTGGCATAGGACTCTGTAGTTCTTATTACATGATTATATTTATTTAGTATGTCAGAGACATATAATTTCAGAAATGTCCATGTGTTGAATAAAATTCTGCATTTTTTTATAAGACACTTGAGCAACTTGAGTGTATCTGGCTTTAGCATTCTTATTCTTATTTGTGCAAATTCTTATTTCTTATCCTCGACTCTTTTACTCACAACGACTCTTTTACTCACAACGCTGCTGCCTTGCTCTTTCTGCTTCTGATATTTTTTCTTTATTTCTCACATGTCTGACATTGCATCATCCTTCTTAGTACTTAAAGTGTTTAAAATAATTTCATGTTCACTTTCTTAGAAATGTTACCTGGCTTTGTTGTTACTTGTTGATCAAGTTTGTAAGCTTCACATCATTTTTGCTTGTTTCTACCATGACAAAAATATTGAAATAGATTGCAGGTAACAACAGAATTTTAACTTAACCTGTTTCTTTAATTGTGTTCAACATGTGCCTGAATTATTCATTTTCTTATTTCATTGATTAATATTCTTATGAAGAGTCTGTTTCAAAAGTTTATTGTCCATGTGCATGATACTTTACCTTGTTGGATTCCCTGTTCTTGAATCTCTAAAACCCTTTGATATTTTTTTGTTATTGGTCATTTAACTTTTCTTTTTTTGGCCTATTGTGAGTAGATAGAAACAAAAGATTTAAAGCATATCATAACACATTTTAGAAGGAATTTCTGCAAAAGAAATGTGGTGGGCATTACTTGGTCTTATTAATTGGAGAAAATACTTTTGCTGGTTACAGATTAGTTTTTAAAATACATTTTTAATTTTGTTGTGTAAATGCTGTTTTATCAGCGTGATTGTCCTACACTTTCTGAGGTTTCTGTCTCATATGAATTTTTTGTGATCTAGGTGCTGAAAAGAATACTAGAAAAGACATGCATTGCTGCCTTAGTTAGTAACTTTCTTAAGGTATAAACTGTAAAAGAAAATGAAGCCAACTTTGGCTTCTTTGACAAATCTCTAGAAATCATCAGTTTGTGTTCCAAACAATGTTTGACGCATTTCTGTTCATTTTTCTGTACAGAAAGCCCTCGAGGCCAGCCGGTGGCATGAGCTGGAGCAGACACAGGAGAGGTCGGCCAAAATGTTGTCTCAGAGCCCTCTGATGTCTGCTGCTTCCCGGAGACTGACCGCTGTCCCGTCCATCTGATCTTCTGCTCCTTGAGAACCCAGATTAAAACAGTCATTTTATCACTAAAAGATATTGGGTTGCATTGGACTATTGGCACTGAAGATAACCTTCAATGTCTTTTGAAAGGAGGTTGCACATAGCTTTTAAGATATTCAAATTTTGTTTACAGCAATAAGTTATTGTCTGTTAACCTTTGTCTTTCTTCTTTATGTCAAAACTTGCAAGTCAGCTTTTGGGCTTTAGGGTTTTCTGATTGCTGTCTTAATTTTTTTTAAGCATTTGATAAAAGTTGCTACAAACAGAAGAACTGTCACAAAATCCTGTGAATTTTACCCTCTCAAGTTTGCTGATGTAGTACACTCAAATGAATGCTGTTTTGATTAAGTATCTGTTTTGATCTCATCGTTTCTGTAAACTAGCTTTGAGGCTGTTAATGAAATCTTAAGGTTTTTTTTAAATTCTGAAGTTTTGTAAATCTGTGAGCACTGGCTTTACTGCTATCAGTATTAGGGATTATTATCTCACAGCAGTGTGATATGTTTATAGATTGAGCAGATACAAGATTTTCGTTGGTACTATATATTTGATGAATGCACACTGAGTAGAAACTGACGTACCCTTTCTTATGATGTACATAAAAGAAGCAGTGAAGCCAACAAACTGACTCTGGTTTCCTGATGTGTGGGGTCTGATGTGATCATGACAAATGTTAAAATAAAATATCTTCTGAACCAACAGGTTTTCTGTGCTGACTTGGCTGTTTCTTCATTTGTGAAGCAGCGTGGTGAAATCAGGTCCTCGATAAAATAACGAAATCAGAGAAACGGGCGTTTTCCGCTAATTTGGAAATTTGTATCGAATTTTTATTTTTTGGCTTGACCTCTTTATGTCCATATAAAAACACATTGCGATGTGAATTTTATTGAAAAACATTAATTAAAGGCACAAAATATGTCATTTTTCAGTTTTCAAAGACTGTTTTGCTATTGGAGCTACCAAACTTTGTCGGTCATTTTCTTTCTAATTTCACCATTGAAACCAGGCAACCACACTTCCTTCAAATGAAGGAGTTCTATTCAAGATTAATGTATCACGAAGTGGTGGAATCAGGCATTCGTCAATTTTTGGGCATATGGGGTTATTGTTATCATCTTAAAACCTGTTCATTTGCCTTCCTTATGATGAAAAAATACCCATCTATATAGAATAGAAGTCAAAATATTTGCGATTGAAGGTCAGGGTCGCCTGGTTTCAGTGGTAAAATTAGTGACAAAATGGCCACCAAAGTTTGGTAACTTCCATAGCCTGTGAGTCCTTGGATACTGAGAATTTACATTTTTTATGCCTTTAATTGACATTTTTCAGGGCAATCCACACAGAAATGTGTTCTTTAATGAACATGGAAGGTGTTGAGCTGAAAAACAAGTTTTTGATAAAACATTTCCAAACCTGCGGGAAAACGCCAATTTCTTCACTTTCACCATTTTGACGAGCGCCTGATTTCGCCACGCTGGCTGTCAAATAGATATTTATATCATTGGAAGCTAGGCAAATAAATCAGCTTTCAGATGATACCAATAACTCCATATGCCCAAAAATTGACGAACACCTGATTCCACCGCGTTGTGACACATGTTATGTTGTACCAAATACCATTCCCAGGGCAGATCTTTACCAACAGCCAATGTTGCTAGACCTGCTCGTCTCGCTTTGGCCATTGGCTTTATCGGCCAGGAGTGTGCCTGCGGTAGACATGGACCTCCCCCTTCTCAGATTAGGCCGTTTAGGAATCAAAGCCATGATGATAATACTTTGTTGAAGAAGTGTTAAAGGCAAAGTACGTGTAGTTTTTTGTTACTGTCAATTGCCATATCCATGCAATGCTCATCATATCCGTGGTAGCTTTAATGCCGAATGAGGGTTTATCACATATTTTAGAGGCTAAAACAAAAAGAAGCTTTAAAAAGCCAAATAAATGGAGCTTGTCTTGAATGCCACAACAATGAAAGAGAGCAAATAATAGGCTACAGGATCACCCGCCCCCTCCTAAGAAGGGCACAGATTTGTTACTGGGATTCTGGAAGTGGAAGTGCCATAGATAGAAGTTATAGCTGCAGCTGTTTGGCCAGCTAATTTGCCTTGAACATGAAAATGGATGATTAGGCCTATTCTCAACGAAATTGACAAAATGTTATCTTCATCATCCTTCACTTTTTAAATTAAATTGCGCCCACGGATTGATGATGCAGCCTGTCGGGACAAATTAAACTTTCGTCTATTTTGAAAGAAAGCAATCTTTCTTTGTTGTACGACAAAATCGTCTTTGCGTCTGGGATTTTGTAGGTGGTTTTTGTCCTCTGTGCTTGGTGACTCAAAGCAGGTCTAGACTTCAGCTTTACAAATCATCAGTTCTGTGCTGTTATGCGTTTAGCCGGTCATGAAAGTTGATGTAAAACAAATCCCATTCTCATCACGCCCAACGAAAATAAAATTGCATGGCACAGTAGTAAAAAAGACGACAAAGAAGGCTGACTCAGACTGTTGTGATGTAAGGAAGAAAAGGGAAGAGGGTGAGGAAAAGTGCAGACTAACTTATTCCATCACTCTAACTTAATCTCTTCCTTCATCTTCCAGTGTCGGTTCTCTCAGATGGGTGAATTGAGCGATGCTATGTTCAGATTCGATCAGCCGTTATATGTATGGCGAGAAATGTCCGCTCACACACCCCTCAGAGCGTCTCGGCAATTGCGGTGAAACCACGCATACAACACGCTCGGACTTAATAACGCTTTAGTGACGAGTTGGAGCCTCTCCTGTGTGCCTCTCCCTTTACAACACTTCTAAGTCCCAACTTGTCGGCAACTCTTTGTACCCTTCTGACTCCTACTTCTTAAATATCTCGACAAAAGCGACTTTATGTTTCAAACTTGCGCCTCTACTACGAATTACTGTATGTAAGAAAAAAATGCTTTGTAAATGAATAGAAAAATGACAGACTGAATTATTGATCTCTTATCGAAGGATTTGCAGCTGGGTAGCTACTATCATAGGTCTTAACGTTGGACTTTGAGACCTTACAACTTCAATAATTTCAATATATTTTTCCACAGACACTGCGATATTTTTAAAATCAAAGTTGCAGCTTCATATTATTCTAAGGGCACTTCTTCCAAGGACGGAGGACCTTTTTCTGCCCAATAGCAGAGTAAAAAAAATAGTAGAAGCTACTTACAACACAGTCATTCTTTCTTGCTATGTTCGGTTAGCAAATTTTAGCCTACCCCTTGTCACGTACCCACAAGCATTAATGTTCAAGCGTGTTATTCGCCAAAAGAAGAGCCTCTTGGTTATACTACATGTAACCCATCTTGAATTTGGGAACTCTATTGTCTCTTGATTTAAAAATGAACCCAACACATCCTGTGGATTTCAGTTTTTTAAAAATTCCTATGAACTCTTTCAACAAAGTGATGTGCGATGGCTGTCTGTTGCTAGGGCACCTTCGTTAAGGGCAGTTGGCAGAAGTAGGCTTGTGTCGATGGGGTAAATGATAATAAGTTTAAGGCACTTATAAGGTTCAGTCGATGCGTCAGCAATATAATTCAAATAGCTGAATCGGCTGTTTTCCACTGTCAAATAGAGCAAGCTCTTTATTTTAAAAAGTAAGTTTGATTATACAGTGTCTTTCTTTCACACGCGTTAGCCTGTAGCGATAACAAACATTTATCAAAGCCTACCCCACACATGCTAGTTATTATTTTGCTGTTGGTGTAGACTTAAAATACATTATAAAACGCCAATAGAACACTTCTAAAGAGAGAGCAGGGTGAGCTAGTGGAAGAAGATTTGGCCATAATGCCAGTTTGCACAAAACGAAAGAGAACAAGGAAAAGGAAATCGTACTCGAGCATCTCCGTCTTTCCGTGAAATGCCGTATACATATCTCTTTCAGCTCGAAATTGGACTTCGACAAGCAGGTGCGAAGCATCCCACCACCTAGACGATATACATTGTATGCGTCGATGGTGGCGTAACAGGTTTGGGGCTGTTCAAATATTATAATCTTACACCTTTTTGGGGAGACTTTTTGCCCCCCCCCCTTTCTTTCACGTTTCTTACACCCCCCTCCAAAAAACAAACAAACAAAAAAAACCCCGTAATATTACGTTGTTCACTTACAATAATAAAAAATATGACAGTTATATTTCGCAAATCCGTGTTACAAACATTGTGCGAGATGGCATAGTCGTGCTTATCCCTCTAAGTGAATAGTTAACTCTCTTTTTATGTGTTATTTTTTTAAAGAAATTATGTTGTCATAATTTTTTTTCTTGTTATTTTTTCACCTTACAAAAGTGTAATATTACATTGATTCAAGACCCCCCCCCCCCCCACCTCTTTCTTACACTTTTCTTTCAGGAGTCAAAGCCAAATACCCCCCCCCCCCTTTTTCCACGTGTAAGATTATATAATTTGAACCCCCTCTTTACAGCCATTTGTATACACTATTGAAGGTTCGTATATTTTGTTCAAGTCAATGCCAGTTGTATCCTTGTATGGCGAAAGAAATGTCATTTAGCTGACTAAGGCTTGTAACAGAAATCCAAGGTCTTCGACGATTTTTTATATATGATGTATCTGTTATTATCCAAAGAGATTTTAAAAAACCCCAAAAAACCCAAAAAACCTACAAACTCTGTCAGTTCTCTTGGTTGGTGATAATTCCCCTCGGCGTTAGTGCCGTTTGCAACTGATTGTATTTGCTTTAGTTCCCAAGGTAGATCGTCGAACTCATGCAAACAGTCAAAAATTAATGTTAATGAAAATACCCCCCTCCCCCCGAAAAGAAAAAAGATGTCATTGTTAAATAACCATAAGCTATTACTACCACGTAAAGATTCCACTTCTCTATGCAAACACACACACGCTGAATCACGTATCAAAACAAGACCAACAAATTAAAATGTTTTATTTTTCCTGTTTAATCAATTTACATCAATTTGCACAGGCACACATGAAAAAAATTTCAATTCTAAAGACAATGAGAAAACAGTTACAACATACAAAGATACAGTTTTAATGTTCTGAGGACGTTTGAAGCAGAACGTTCTCATTAACAAGAGAACACTAAGCTTGCTAATTGCCTATTATATCATTAATTTTTAAAGAGCGGACGGACTATTGTTATTTCTTGTCTTCCGGATGCTAGTTTTGCGGTCGAAAACGATTTACTGTTTTTAGATGCGTTTCAATATAATTGCTGAAAGTGTTCTAGTAACCAGGTAAGCATAGATCTATTATCATTACACACATGAAAGATACCTTTACTTTTTGTGAAGTTGTGTCGGTATCGATGATGGATCTAATTAGAATACAATCTACTAAAAGAGGGTTAAAAAACTATGAGCAGTCATTTCTAGCAGAAATTAATTCACGACAATCCACAATCTTAGCTCGTTTCAGAAAATAAAATTTTGAAATAAATAAATAAAATAAACAAAACACCCCCTCCCACCCCGCACTAAAAACCGGTATATGTAATTCAATAAATCAAATGAAATGATTATAATGTACCAGGACATGCGTAAAAGTCTTGTGTCACACCTCTTTCAGCACAGTTTAGATACCGTTGGAAACAAGGTTTGTTTATACATTGATCATCGTCAATACAGTGGGGTCTGGCAAGCCAAACAACTTTCAAATAGTACTTAGGCTTTTGTTAGAAAGCCGAATTGAATCTT